GTCAAGAATTAACCATACAAAGCTATCAGTTTTTAACCATGAGATTTCATCTCATCTACAAGTTAATTATACCTTATAGATCAGCAAGGAGATTGATTTCATGAGATCACCAACAACAATAAAGTCTCCGCGGGTCTGAACATAAAGAGCTAGAATGTGTCCGTGATGTCCACATTCAGACTGCAATTCACGGGTGCCGTCATCCCGCAGCATCCACTTATACAACTGAATTTTCTGATTAATAGCAGCAAGAAGCTTTCCATTAAAAGCATTGAGAGAATAAACAGCTCCTTTGGTTTCCTTCTCAGCGATAAGCTGCAACCTCCCATCTTCAACTACAAATACTAATATCCTTCCCTGTATTCACCAAAACCAAATTCAAAGACAAATTGGAGAAAAAGAAATTTGACTTGAGAGTAATACCGGATCAGTGAAGAAAGATACCTTAGTTGGCTCATTTTCCTCCGGTATAACATATGCGGTTCCAACGCAGTAGTAGACATTTTTATCGTCAGTGAACGAGCAGCTCAGAATGGAGCAACAATATTCAAAGGCATCCAGTGGGTAAGTTGACAGAAAGTCGAAAGTTTGGTCATCTAAAAGACGGACAAAATGCATTTCAGATTCTTCAGCATTTGTCTGGTTTCCCAAACTGCAGATACCAAATGTACGTGTTTGCTCCTGATGGCAGATACGACGAGCATGCTCTCCAAGAGGAATAGTGCGTATGTGAAGCTTCTGAATATCATCAATGGTGCCAATTGTAAGTTCACCTTCTCTCGCAATTGCTAAACTGCTCATAAGAGAGGACAGAGAATCAGATTTCACAGCCATTAAACTTTGATCAGGAATTGGAAAACCGAGAGCAAAAAAGAGGATGTTTAGTGTACCTGTCGGGAAAAGCAGCAGAATTGAAAGGACACATATGACTAACTTCTTTAAGATTCACATTGCTGTATAACAGCTTCTTATTGCTGCTGTAGATTACGGTTGGTCTATCTGATGCAGCAAAGACATGAGTGGCGCTTTTTGATGAAAATGTACGCAGAGTTATAGGCTGAGTTCCGAGTGATACTTTTTTCCTGTCTTTCAATTGCCCAGTAGTTGTATCCAACTGGAAGTTTAGAAGATGGCCATCTCCAAGAGCACATAGAAGGTAAGATATCTGTAACATAACATATATGTTAATTTCTACCATAAAATATAACTCGGTTCTCGACTTATCTGAAGTAAGGTCCAATGGAAACATACCCCTTCGAATGCACAAAGCAGAACAGATCGGGGAATAATCTCCCCTCCTAGTTGCTCTTTTGTAATAAGAGTCAACTCCGGCAGCGAAAAAATTCTCACACTTATATCTGTCCACATCCCAACTGAAGCTAGCTGACTGTAGTTAGGATTTTCGCCGATAGGATTTATATCAAGGCAAGAAACCTCGAACTCCAAAAGGGCATGTTGCACTTCAGTCAATTTTCCATCTCCAATTTCTAGATAAACAAGATGCCCACCTCCAGTCGCCAAAAGAACCTAACAAGCAAATTAAAGAGTCAATTTCCAAATGGCTATTCCAAAAGGTGTTGTGTATGTCTAGACACTCAAAAGTTAGATTCCCCTCTCATGACAAACATTTTAAACAACGCAGCTACATACAAAATTATTAAATCAAATCCAGAATGAAATACAAACCTGGCTGGCATTTGCAGTTGCAACATTAACAGTAAATCCAGCTGGGGCGTGCCACTCGTCCCGCAACTCCCTAGTTGTAGAACTGACTAGCCTAACAGAATTTGAGGTAACCTGATCCAGAAGAGGCAGCAGTTTATTCATGATCACGAATAGAGAGGAGAGACCAGAAAACTATTTCGGCACGAAACAAAGCTATAACAGCTACAAATACATTGATTATCTTTTAAAAAACCCAAAGCACTAGCAAAACTTACCTGCACAAGTTGATTGTATACAGCATCATGGCAAAATAAAGTCTGCACTTGAGACAAGAAGCCCTCAATCTCTGTTTCTTCCAGTTCATCCTCAAGATTCATAGCTAATATACGAGTCTCACTGATAAAGCTAACTACGAGGAATGTGTCGAAGGCTTCATCAATTGAAGATTTTAGCGACCACATTCCTTTGATACCTTGAAGTTCCACAGACGCCTGTAATACAGTGGAGTTTTAAGATAGAAACTAAATGAGAAAAATTGCGCATACATGACTCTGAGATTTCATGACAAAAATCAAACCTGTTCATTGATTCCTATCCCATTGCGAACAATGCGGAGAGAACCATCCTTAAATGCTCCAGAACAAGTTACAACCTGGCCTTGCCCCTGTCTCTCGAGGTCGACTACACAAAAGTCGACAATAGGCCCCAAGTTGATATATCTTTCCAAGACTTCTACATATGAGCCTTTTGCATCAGGATGCAAATTTAGCTTCACTAGCTGCAATTGGATATCAAACATGGAAAAACTCAGATAGTTGATTCTACTATTCCTAGAAACCAGAGAGAATGCACGACAATCTTTGACAATTTTTGAGTTCTTGTCTTTGCTGTGAATAAATAAAGAATAAACAAAGTCTAATCTAGAGAGGAAAATCACCAATGAACAATTGGACACAGCTAAAAACATTGAACAATATCAATTTACTATCTAGAGGAACAGATTGAGAAAATTTGTGTTATGAGACCATAATCATATCACTAGCACACCTGAGAATCGCCATAGCTAGAGCCAACGAAGACAACGGCATTGTCAAGGTATGATATAGTCGATGCAATAGACGTTTCACCCAAAAGCTCAATTTTGAGGCCAGTGACCCTTCAGATACAAATGAAGTGAGCATATGAAGAAAGTAAATAAGTTCAATAGAGCTTTCAATTGTTTAGAATATGGAAAAAAACTCTCTGGGTAACACTCACTTTTCTTTCTCGTGTGTTATAACAAGCAGATGAATCAACCCAGCATGGTCACCAAGAAGATACCTAGAGCCATCAACATCAACTCTTCCATATGCTTTAGTGATGGACTGGACAAGCAAATTGAAGGTCACATATCAAACCAAGAAAACAAAAAAGGTGTGCTCAAAGCTCAAGCAAATGCTTATAAAAACAGGAAACATTATGCTGAAAGAACTTACAGGTCTTATTGGTATTGCTTTGAATGCATTAGCACTACAATAGACAATTGTTTCTTCACCAATAATAAGGACACCACAGAGAGGTGGTGGTACAGGAATCAGTAGGTCAGCACCATTATCGAGATTGTTTTGTGACCATGGACCCTCAACAAAGTCCTTATCTTTTAGAGAGACTTCATATGTTTTGACATGACGAGCATCTTTGTTGTCCTATGAAACCAAGGATTAGTTAGTCCCGCCAGAGAAAATTCTAGATTGATTCACGTTTTACATCATCAAAATAGATAACAGGGTAAATTTAAGATCTGCTTAAATAACTACCATTAAAATAAACACAGTAAAGCTACTTTGCTCAAACTTCACAAGTACCAAGAGTGTACTTTTTGCAGTGAACTCTTGTAAAATTTTTAAATAAAGTACAAGATCCCAAGAAACAAATGTAGATGCATGGACAGAAAATATTCAATAGCACATTCATTTTAAGATATTTCTGTACCTGATAAAGTACTGCAATTGTGGGCTTTGCACATCCAAACAGAAACTTGATATCCAGAACCTGCAATTCCTCCAGCCTGAAATTTAGACACCACAATCAATATATCATTCAGTTTTAAACTTTAATGGTGTCCCCAAAATAACCATTCGTAATGAAACAAGAGGACTGAGTTGATAGAGAATTTTCCAAAGAATCTGATGCATGGAAGCAAGTCGCACTCGAACACAAGCATATGTGACTATAGAACATAAAACGAGAGCGGGTTTAAGCTTTGTAGGCTCCAAAACTACAAACTGCAAACTAATTCAAACAGTACCTGATATTAAAAGCTTCCTTGAGCTGTCCCTTATTATCAAATGGAATAACCTAACAGAAGAACCAAGAAACAGAACGCATAATCATACAATGTATCAGAGGAAGATCAGTAACAAGAATATATGATTCAAAATTCTTACAGAAGACAGCAACATACCTTGAACAAGCCGTCGTACAGATGGAGTCCAATTAATCTACAGTCTGGATCAATTATACCAATCTACAAAAGCCAATGTCAAATCAGAAGTCAGCTACAAATCCCAAAAAAGCCCTCAATCGCAACACACACTCATTAATGAAGAAAAATTATATGTAACCACTCTGAAATACACAATGCAATGATTTTCAATACCTGTCCATTGTCTGTTGGTCGGCCTATACGATCAGAAACATCCCCCATAGCTCTGAAAAACGTCAAAATCAAAAGAAAAGTAACACAACTGGTTGGTTAACATCAACTGAATTGTAAAAAGCATATCATATTTTGGAAACTGTACCTTGTTATAAGCTCAGAGGACTCAGCATCCCATTGAAGAACACAGAATTTGTATCTCTCAGTTGCAATGAACAAAAAATCTTGTGCTTCACCCTGCAAAGAATGTGGACAATCCAATCAACATTGTAATTTGCTAATACGACCACGAGAGATAACATAATAAGAGATATACTCACATGTGGGCGAAACAATTCCAAAGTCGCGATCCTCCCATATATAGGAACATCCAGCATAGGCTGCACAACAGTTTTATATTAGTAACCAAACGAAACACGATGACAAAGTTTTAAAATTTCTAAGTCCAAAGGAACTTAAAATGAAAACAAACCAGCAATTTTTCCTATTGACAACACAATAATCATACTGAGAGAATAGAGTTTGTACCTGAAGTCCTTGTGGGGTAAGCAGATGGATCTCAATTCGAGTGCATTTCCTGAGAACATATCAACATTTCTGTCAAACTAACAATAATAAATTGGATCTGGTCCAGTAGCTGATACAACATGATAATGAGAGAACTTTCAAACAAGTTACAAGACTGCAATATCGAGAAATGTATAATCTTTACATAATATTAACGAACCCTATTCAACATAAATCTACTTCAGACCAATTACAACCATACCAAAAACAAGTCTTAAGAACAATTCCAATAATTCACCACATCAAAGAACCCAGACAGACTAACATCCCAATTCACAACCCACTGATTGACTAAAGCTACAATTGATAAGCTCGAGAGAGAGAGACTTCCTCCTACGAATTAGTTATGCAAAGAGAGCAAATTTGAAAATTGACCCGTGAAGGAAAATAGCTTCCTTGAAAACCCTAAACCCCAAAATCAAACAGCTACCTCACAAAAAGAGAACAAATGGAAAAATTGGCAAGAAAAGAGAGGCGAGGAATCGAGATTCATACGCGACAATAAGATTGAGCTCCTGAGGACTGGTGAAGTTGCCGACACACGAGTGAGTGACACTGGTGGGTTTGTGAGCCGTGACAACGTAATTCCATGAGCTCATCTTCTTCGTCCACCGAAATTGGAGTTTCAGAGACTACGCGAGGGCCTTTCCCGCCTCTAATTCCAGAGAAGAATCTGGATTTCTCCGACCGAGCTTTTGCAATTTTAACGAAGAAGACAGAGAGAGAGAGACAATGAAAAGGCAAAGGAGGCGAAAAGTGAAAAACGAAGAAGAAAGACACACCCCTTCGACAATGACGGTCCGGTTCGGTTTACAATTGCCAAACTAAAAGGACGGCCCGGTTCGGTATAATGCGAAATCTTAACTCACCAATCCTAACCGAATTCTCTTATAACCAAAATTGTACGGAAATAATCTCTATACCGAATTTACCCGAACAGAAACAATATTAAACTACCAAACTTAAAATGATAGTCCGGTTTGGAATTGTCATGGTGAGGACGATTTCCGGTTTAATCTTCCGGTTACGAAACTGTAACAAAAGGCCCAAGTTGTTGCTACAAAGAGCGAAATGTTTAATGGGCTTAGCTCAGATTAGCTAACTAATGGGCCGGACAATCCGGGTCGACCCGATTCGTGAAGAAAACCTAGGTCTTGTAATAGCGAAGGAGAAAGATTTAAAGTCGTGCAACCTTTCCGACCAAATATACAAAAAATCGTTTTTTTGCGTCTCCGTCGCCACTAAACCTTGAAGGCTAACCTTAAACCCTAATTGAGCTTCTCTTGCTTTAGCTGAGTTTAC